GAATCGAAAGTAAAGGTAAAAGAATTTTTATGACCTGATATTTGATTCAACAAATTGAGTGCTATTTTTGAATTGAATCCAATGTACAGAATGTGAGTAAAAATCAAATTATATTATCATTACGACGAGTGACAGTAACCATAAGACTTATGGCATAAGTGTCACAACTTATCTAAATTGTGGTCGTTTTTGTAGACTATTTGACCACAAATCTCTTATCTTACATGCAGTGAATTTAGTGCTGTATTGCAAAAAATGTGATCACGTTTTAAAATTTTGCTTTGAGGCAGAAAGTGGTTTATATATTAATATTAAAAACTAAGGTAGAGTTAGAGTACATGTAGTGATGTATTAATATATCAGATGTTACATATTTCTCCATTATCAATATATAAATTACTTGTTAAAATTTATAAAATTATTATTAATAATGAATATTAATATAGAAAAAATGTAATAACATAATAATAATTTATTGACGTTTTAATTACAAATTGATTTTTATTTTTATTAAAGTTTTGTAAAATATTTATATGATTTTAGTATTTTAAATATTATATAATGTTGTGACACAACAATGTGTGGGAAGTGCTATAAAATATAATAAAATAAAATTCGTGTAATTTTTAGGCTGTTATCAATAGTTTAAAACAATTATAATAATAAAATCTGTACAAAAACCCAGAATGAAGTCATAATTATAAAATAAATATTTATATATAATTAATATAAATAATTTTATTCACTTTTATGGCAACCAGAAAGTGTCAAATTAAAATTTTTTAAATAATGACCAATTCTCACAACATATCACTAAATTAAACGAAACGACGATTAAAATAAGAGTTTATTCTAACAATAATGTGTTAATATTTTAACTAATTATAACAAGCACAATAAATAACTTGTGGACTTTTATTAGGACCCAAAATTAAAGTTGCATAATATTTATGAAAATGTTATAGTGCTAAACTTAACTTACTTGATCAGATTAACAGAACGTACTTTAATTTTAAATTATCTATGAAGATATAGTACCATGTTTAGTATTAAAGCAAATGGTCAGTTAACATCAAAGATTCAAATAGATTATGTCTATAATGTGTTTATTATATGATGTTTCTTATAATGTTTACAGAATTATATGCAAGAATTTTAGATTACTTTTTGTAAAAATTATTATTTCAATGTCATTAGAATTATGAAAATACTTTGACATAATTAATCTCTTTTGTGTTTCAGATCGTTAACAAATATTTTAAAAATCTATTCCATAATTACTGTATACTAAATTACATAATATAAAAATATATTATCTAGGTTCTAATCTAGGTATTATAAACAATAATATCATAGTAGTTAGTTACATAATGTTAATATTTGGTGTAATGTGTAATATTTATCGATATTAATGTTAATGTTAATAAATTAACTTAAAAATAATTTTTTTTCATTATTTAACTTTAATTGAATATTATAAGTATTTATAATTGTTCAATATTATCATAAATATTATATAATGATTACAAATGAATAAAATAAAATGAATAAAAACAAAACAAACATAAATAACTGATGTTTGTTGTAATCATTTGTAAATAAAATTCACAAAATTGCTTAAAATGTAAAATAAAATTGTGTTGAGTTATCAAAAACAATAGTAAACTTTAAATAAAATATATCGAGAAATTGGGGACACATTCATATAAATAACACAATATTAATTAGATTTTACATTTAATTATTTCATTAAATGGTGTTATTATTAATAACATATTAACTAGTTATAAATTATACTAAAATGCAGTATAATTAAGCAATTTAACAGTAATTAAACATTATTTGTCAAAAATATTACATCAAAACTCTATTTTCGAAACACTTGTTTTGAAGCCTAAATTTGAAAGTTATTGCAAACCATTTATCCCTGACTTTACTTTGATTTTGTAAGACTTTACTCTCTTCTCAGAGCAGAGTTTGTTTACGAAGAAAAATTAAATTTTGTAAATAAAAATTGGCCAAAAATATATCGAGAGAATTGCGAAATGCAAATTAAGCCAATGTAACTAGTATGGATTATAATGACAATTAAATAAATAAGAAAGCTAAATCAATAATTACAGATTAAGTTATATGATTTATGAAAATGGATTAAATGAAAAAATGGGTGATAATTGATAGCGGGATTAGACTGTATTGCATTTGCTCGAAGTGGTAGCGAATGGTTTCTCCTAAATATTTATAGAAGTGGTGCAAAAGTAGTGAATATAAGATTCGCACCGATAGTCTGGAGCCCTCTCTGAGCACACCATTTATGGCGACGATTATAGATATGGGAAGAGAAAGACGATCCAAATGTAAGCCAAGAATTCGCTTATTTTGTATGCCTTTCAGTGCCTCTCGTCGGTCGACACACAGTATATAGTTATAGTCAAACACATCAGACAATTGTGTCAATAATTAACTTTTTATTTGGATTTTCATTCAAATCACAACCAATTAATCCAACATAATGTCTGACGAGGAAGAGTACAGGTATGTCAACACGAATTTACATTCTTTATAAGTCATATTTCATTACGTTTAGCCTTATTTTGCTTTCAAAATCAATTATAATTGCGATCATTTAATTTTGAGAATAACTTTTAGATGCTCTTCATTATAGAGTGTAATAATATTCTTGACTTTTAACTGATTTTGTCTTTCATTTCCATTTTGATGATAGCGAGGAGGAGGTGGAGGAGACCAGGTATGCATTCACTGCCATTCAAATTCCGTGTTTTTCTAAACATGTTATTTCTTTTTACGTAACAGAAAGAGGTAAATATGAGCCCATTTTTGGTTATATTCAGGTCAGATCTGATCCGTTTTATTACTTATAATTGTATTATTAATTTATTTTAAAACAAATAATTTATATTTGAGTGTATTTTTAGAATTCAAATATAATTTTATGTTATGATAACGATTCTGGTTTTGTTAAACAATCCTTGAATAATAAGTTTTAGTAAAGTTTTAGATTTTTAATCAAACTTTTATATTTGAAATGAAAGCACGAGCTCTTCTGGTCCTAAGGTGGAAGCGGCTCCGTGTGAGGCCGAGGCAGCGATGGAGGTATATATCAAACATCATTCATATTATTGATTGCATTTTGAATGTTGAGATTTATTGAATCAATAAATTGTCAAATAAAAGGAAAAAGCAAAGAAAAAGAAGGTCGAAGAGGAGGAACAGTGGACTGAATATATGGAACAGAGAAAGAAAGCCAGAGCTAAGGAAGAGGAAGACCTGAGGAAATTGAAGGATAGACAGGTCTGTCGATCGCATTACTCGTATAATCTTAAAAAACTTTTAATTTAATCATTAATTTATCGGATTTTAAAGGCTTTGCGCAAAACTAAAAGAGCAGAACAGGAGAAGATGTTATACGAGTTTAAGCGAAAACAAGAGGAACAGAGAATAAGAGAAATGGTGGGCAAAAAACATTGACTCTTTGACTGTGTTTTAAACGCGTTTGTGTTGTATGTGTTGTATAGGAGGAGAAGAAGGCGAGGGATGCGGAGAACAAACGAAAGCGTTTAGAGGACGCCGAGAAGAAGAGGGCCGCTATGCAGGCGGCTATGAATAAGACGAAGGACTCGGCGCCCGTCGATGTGTTGTATAGGAGGAGAAGAAGGCGAGGGATGCGGAGAACAAACGAAAGCGTTTAGAGGACGCCGAGAAGAAGAGGGCCGCTATGCAGGCGGCTATGAATAAGACGAAGGACTCGGCGCCCGTCGAGCGAAACTTTGTCATTCAGAAGCGTACGGATGGCGGACCCGGAGCTGCACTCGGAAACACTGGTTTCGATCGGGTATTGATTGCATTTTGTAATCACTGAAAATGTGTGCATAATTTGGTAATCGATTGGTTGCGAAACAGTTCTCGAATGTGATGTCAGCGCGAAGTGAAATGGGAAAGACAAAGGAACAGTTGGCCGAAGACAAGAAGATCGCCCTCTCGTTCCGCGTAAAGCCGTTGCAAATCGACGGCCTGTCTGTGGATGAGCTGAGGAAGAAGGCGTCCAATCTCTGGGATTTGATCATATCGTTGGAGAGCGATAAATACGATTTGGAGGAAAGACAAAAGAGACAGGACTATGACGTATGACATTCATTGTCGATGTCTTATCTATCCGTAGATATTAACTAATCGTTTGACCAATAGTTGAAAGAATTGGCGGAAAGACAGCGACAAATCAATCGTAACAAAGCGTTGAAGAAGGGATTGGACCCCGAGTTAGTCCAGACTAATCAAATGCTGTCAACAATTGTTTAGTAATTTGTAAATTATTTTCAGCGCTCTTTCGGGTAAATTCCCGCCGAAGATCCTGACGGCCAGCAAATACGAGCGACGACTCGATAGACGGACTTTCGGTGATAAGAAAGGGCTTTACGAAGGCGTAAGTGATTATATACTGTACGGTATATTACGGATAGAGTGATGAATGGTGTGTACTATTGGTGTTGATTAGGGATATGACGCTCAGATGGAGGCGACACTGGAGAAGACGTGGGAGGAAAGGATGAACTCATTCAAAGAGCGGGAGGCGAAGAACCAAAACAAATGGGATCCGTCGGCGCCCAAGAATAAGGAGACATTCGAACCGGGAGTTCGCACTTACGACGACGAGGGAGACGACGATCTGTTGGACGCATTCATAAAACCGCCCGGTTTTGAGGAAGTGCTCGGAGGAGTGACTACTCCCGCCTCAAAGCCAGCGCCCGCTCCACAGAAACAGGAAGAAGAGGAGGAAGAAGAAGAGGAAGAGGAGGAGGAAGAAGAGGAAGAAGAAGAAGAGGAGGAGGAAGAGGAAGAAGAAGAGTAGACAATGAGAGGGCTATTTAAAAAATAAGTGTTTTCACGAGAACTCAATGTTAATAAAACCTATTGTCTGTCGAATCGAAACAAAAACTATTTTTATTTAAATATGAGTTTTAAATTTTGGTGCACTTATTATAGAGACTAAACATACCATTAATTTGTTTAATGAAAACGACAGTTAATTTCAATACCAATTATAATATGAGTTTTAAGTGAATTAAGTGGACATTCATTTATAACTTTTATTAATAAATTATTGCCTCAATTCTCCAATTCTTCGTCTGATGTAATCATTTATTCGTTAAAACAATTTACCAAAAACAATAAAAATTGATTTTTGTTTGTTTCAAATTGTTTGACATTATTTGACCCAAAGTCGAGTAATTGA